ATTTAGAATAATATTGCTTTATATATATAATTATATAATAATATATAAAGCAATATTATTCCTATATATAGTATACTCAGTATATATATATAATATAACATTACCTGGCATAAAGTGTGGATATCACGCTTTCCACGCCTGTAGCTGGAAATTTTGTAGGTTGCTTTTGCATATCGAGACAATAGATATAAATAAGACGAAAGATAAGTACAAGAACTAATTTAACTATCTAGTATGAAATCATTTGACGGTCACGTCATAATAAATGGCAATTCCGACATGGTCAACATAGTTGCAGAAACGAACAACAGTAAAGTGATTATCGAATCTACGATATTTATCCCTTCTTATTGTGAAACGCATAGAATATAGCTGATTATTACATATAACGATAGTATATGTGTTCTATCAGACGAACAATAAACGACCGATCGAATAAACGAATTGAAATCTCGTCTTTATCCTTACTATTAGTACTAATTCTTTCTTATATGTACGGTTTATAAGTGGCAATACACTTGCGTTATGAAGTTGGAGAAAAAAATGATACATTTTTAAATATATTCGATCTGTAATGTTGGAGGGTTATTCGACTTAAAAATTTGTCGCTAAAATTAGGATCTTTTCATTTGTTCGCAAGAGATTAAGCACCCGATAGGAAATCTTTAATACATGGTAAGAACTAAATGACAGAATATAGATAATTGAATCAGATCTTTTTGTGATACGTTATTTACGTTAATTAATTATATTTACCATAAGAAACGTGGATTTATAGCTCGCAATACTCGATATAAGCAATAAGGAATAAAGCGATTATATTACAATAACTAACTGCTATTTTTCTAGCAGTAAGGACACAGTTAATTACCAGAAGCTAAATACATGATCGCGCGATAATGTATAACGTTGTCATCGAGCGTTTCAGCAGATACGATAATCGGAAAGGAAAGAAAGATGTTTTTTCGAAGAAATGTGGAAAATATTTGTCAAAGGAAGTAAGAAAAATCGTCTTTCGAGATTTCGATATAAATCGTAAGACATAGGTAAGGGTCAATGAATCGAAACGTTTATCGGTAGTCGCTTGATACGCGTTAATCTGACCGAGAAGTTGCAGAAATCCACGGGGAGTCGCGCAAAGAGGGCCGCGCGTACAGCCAGCCATTGGCTATCGAAGGCGACCAATGGGCGAGTACTCCCATTCATAAGTAGCGTCGCTTCCGTCCTGATACTCTTGATAGTAGGGGGTCTTGTCTGTGATGCAATACGAATTCTAGCTGTATGTATATGTACATACTTACATGTATAAATATACGTAGTACGTAGCTGCTTCCATGATCCTGCGGACTGACCCTTGACTCCCGACTCCCGACTCGCTCGTTCCTTCATCCTACCATATTTTCTTTTCTCCTGCTGCCACATTTCTTACTCCGTAAGCAAGTATACACATACTTATATACTTGCTTACTTAAATACTTTGTCGTTTTCAACAGCTATTTCGACAGGATCTCGCTAGTTTGTCTTCGACAAAACTATACCAGACTCATGTAACGATGGCCGTGAATCGTTATGATTTGTTGGAAGATCGCAGCAATTGGATAGCATAGAAAGATCGTGGAAAGATCATCGAAACATATTTTTACGCAAAAGTTATACCTTTGTTGTCTTATATATCTGCGATCCATTTACTTGTTCGTTTCGTGTAGAGTTCACGCGTTTCACCAACTAGTGTATAAATAGGTATGTGATTCGCCGAGGACCGGAGAAAGAACGAAGAATGGGATGAAACACGAACAACGGGACGGAAGTTAATTTGCGATTAACAAGAATACATATACACAGAGCGCTGACATATACGTATTATATACAAGAGAAATAATATCGACATTATCGAAAAAGAAGCAAGGAGAAATTTCATTTGGTAAGATTCTGTCGCACGTTGATTGAGCTGAACCGAATGTTCGATTTCGTACATTACCTAGTTGATTGTGACTTAAAGACGAAGGAATTACGATACAGAGGAGACGCGGTTCCCGGTTGTGATTCACGTGTCTGCTCGGTTTAAATGATCGCGCGTAGAAAGGGGAGTCATGCAGGTGCAGGTCATGTGAAATATTTGCACTTTGTCGTAATTTGCGTAACCCGTTGCATATATAATAAATCCGCAAAGCTAAAGCGCCACGATAGAAAATCGTTTCACAATCTAAAGAGAAAGGGAATCTCTGGTTCCGTGGGAGGGGAGAGATTCGAGATGCCTGTTGTTGCATATAAGTATCACCTACAGACATATCTCGCCTTGTCCTCTTCATCAAAATCGATGGAGTTGCAAGTTTACCGGTCGAACATACGACATTTTTCTTCATTACCCCCAACCGATCGATACTTTTTATTGCCGAAGATGTCGGTACATAGATACTCTTTTCTCCAAGAAACGAATGGATCAGGCCGGTCGATAGGAAAAGAACGTTTCTCATCTTTGTTCGTTGTGAAATTCATCAGACTCGGATTCATATGTATTTTTTGCAGAGATGGTGTTTGGCGAAGATTATCTATTATCCGCGTATTTACGGGCGACGGATAATGTACGAAAGACGACGTAGAGACGAGACACGACGCGTCGCGTCGAGACACGTTAGTAGTCGTAATACGATGACGTCAGACGAGCGTTGGCGGAATGGCTATGGCCGTTCCCGTTCTCTAACGAGGAAGATCGAGAGAAGGAGATGGAGACGACGAAGGATCGCGCGACTACCAGCGCAACGGGACTCGAACAAATAAAAGAACAATTTCTTTGTCATGTATCCGCGTCGACTTAAAGACCTAGCATTGTCCCAACTTTGAAATCGAAGTCGCGTTCGAACAAGACATGGAGATTCTTGACGAAGGAATCAGACTGAAGAATCAGAATTTATATAGGTACCGGCGATTAAATGCAATCGTCACGATATCAAATCGGTACGAAAACATCAACTACGATCAAGACAAGTGAATTTGATTCTGTCTCGTTTCGTATATTACCAGAATACTATATATATATCATAATCGAACGTCTCGACGCGTCATCGCCGAGATAAGGACTATCAAAATCGTTGAAAGTAGAAGTTTTCCGCTACTTCTTGGTAATAAATCGTGCCGTTTGATCAAGGTGACACGGAGAACGAGAGCGTGCGTGATTTTTTGCACAAACCGAAGAATGAGAGAAAACGCGAAACAGCAAAGAGGGCGGTTACGTGTAAGGATGTAGAGTGTAGAGAGTCAGTGAGCTAAGCTAGACAGCTGGGATCAGTCGCGCTTTGGGCGTGAGCCAGTCATAAGCAAAAGGCAGAGAGGTTGATACGAGGGTAAAGAAACAGGGAAAACGAGCGAGCGAGCGAGTTGACGAGGAAAACAGAGATCGAGCGACGTTGGTGCCGGAGCGGGGTGGGGTAGAGATAGAGAGCGTGAGCGAGAGGAGGAGAGAGCCAGGAGCATGGTCTGTGGACTGTGGAGGGCTGCGTTCACCGGGCAGTTACTCCGGAACCGTTGCCTTGACGACACGCATCCGCGCATGCGCGTATGCAACGCTACGGGTGCACCACGATCGCGTCACGAGCACCAGTTGCGTTCGCCACCCTCACTTTCCTCGCTATTACAAACTTTTCTCCACCTCTGTTGTTATCGCCCGGCCCGCTGGAACCACCGCTACCATTATATCCGTTACACCGCTAGTGTCTCGCAACCATTGCTCGTTGTCTTGCCCGCTGCCATTGTTCTTCCTTCCGTTGTCATCGTTGTTACTGTTGCTACCACCACCCACCATCGCGTCACCACCACCTCCACCACCACTGGCACCACTCTACCGCGTTACAGGTTGCCACTTTTGATGCTGTTATCGTCGTGTCCCGGTCTCTCGTTATCTTCCTCGTTATCATTCGCATCTTCTGTGATCAATTAATTCATTCAGCGATATTCTACGATTTTCCTATTCTCATTCTCAGCCTCTTTCAACGTTAGCGTTCTTTTTTTCTCGTAATTGCACGAGCAAAGAAAGATATTACTCGAAGGGAGAGCACCCTGTATTCGTATTAACCGAAGGGCATGCGTACCGTTCCGAACAGAGAACGTTGTTTACACATGTCTATGCGTGTTTTATTACGTCGCACCGTCGTCGCGGTCGTCGTTGCGTTTTCTTTGAATAGTTCGACACGGATAGTTTAGAAGCTACTAGGTACCTACTGTTCCATTTCGAGATTACCCTCTACCTTCCGGTGATTGCATAGCTCGACCTTCGATTCCTCCATTTCACCGTTTTCTCCTTCCCCAGCTGCGCCGCCGCCACCACTACCACCACCTTCGTCGTTACCACCACTTCCGTCACCTCCACCATTTCCACCACCATCACCACCTCCGCTACTACCACCTCCAGCTTCATCTCCACCTCCATTTCCTCCTCCTGCCGATTTTCCCTCTCCTATTCTATCGCATTCTCCACCTCTTCCTGTTCCTTCTGCGCGGTTCGCGCATACCCTTACTACGAGCGGCTGGCTGTCATGCGTCGACGGTGCTTCTGATAAGGCGCGACCGTATCGGACCGTTCTTGTCGATAATCCGTGATCGACTCGTCAACGTTCTGTTTGCTCACGGTTTGCGTCGACTCTTTCGTATCAAACCGCTTGATTTCAGTGATTTTACGGTGAGACCGTGAAATTTTTCACGAGGCAAATTCTCCGATAGTTTCTGCTAGTCGACTGGTTCGCGGGACAAGCAGCGTAGAAATTTACTCTACGAGCGTTGCCCGATCGATTCGCAACGTCGATGCTCTATTTATCGTTTCGTGCAACGCTGTCGTCCGATCGTTCATCGTACATTCCTCAAATTTCGACCAACGATCGAGTGTGTCGCTGTCACAGCGATAGGAAGAATCGGAAAACTAAGACGGAGAAAAGGTGGTTTGAGAAGGAAGCAAGGGAAAATCGAAAAGTGAGAAGACACCCCTGGGTGATCGATTCGGCTGTTGATGTATGGTGACCGTGACCGAGAGCGGGACCGGGACCGGGACCGTGACTGTAACCGTAATTGTGACTGTGACGTCAAATTTTGGTGTATTTCGATCGAAAAGGAAAAGACAACTGGCTGGTGTTGATCGATGTTTCAGCGTGAACACGTTACAGCGAACGATCGTAAGAATATTAGCGATAGTTAGTGGAGGAACCACGAGTGCACTGCCGTTCGATGTTTTGCTATCGTCGCGAAACCTGCCGCTGTACTTTAACGTTGGAAAAAGCAGCGGCAGGTCGTCGTCGTTTTCGTTTGAGTTTCTTCCGGAGAGCATGATGCGATATTATATAGCAAACTGTGGAAACTCGAGCCGAATCGATTCGTCAACATAGTGCACACGATAGCAGAACGAAAGGTCAGGCCGTACCTACGACCGGAGAAACCAGAAGGAAGAGAAAGAAAGCAAGTGGGATTAGTCGCGTGTAGTTAATTCGAAGAAAACAATCGGCGAAAACATGGAATTCCTTTGGACAACTCGACACGATTACTCGTTGCTCCCGGAACGCGCCGCATTTGCTCTCTACTTTCAAATCAAATAAGATTAATACCTTCGCTGTCTTTAATTAAAAAAGGTTACAAAGACGAAGGAGATGATTCTTTGGGAACGTTGAAGTCGACGTTGATCGAGAAACACGATAGACTGGACACGATCTCGCCAAGGGTACCGCGAAAAATGACGTTGCGTGTGATTACTCGAAGCGATTGTCTAACTGTTGGATTCGCGACAGAGGTGAGAAACGGATGATCGTTTTCGATGTAGAACCGATGCGACTCGAATAGCGGAGCGAGTTGCGTTTGCATTTCGTAGGAATAGACGCGATTCACGCGTGTATAGCAATCGAGGGTGAAACGAAAGGCGATCCGAGATTAATCGCGGAGCATGATCGTCCAGGAGGAAAGGTTAACTACGCTAACGCATTTCAAAAGTTTCCGAGCATCGTCGACGACGTCTGACGAGGAACTCTGTCGAGAAATCGGAACGTTGCGGGATAAACGAGAAGAGCGAGTCGCAACGTTTCGTTGATCGGCTGTTTGTTATCGGACGAGAGGAATCAGCACAAAGGAAAGAAACAAGGCGTTTGACCGGCGCATACACGACGGTTTGTTCCCGTGGCTGTTCCTCTCTATGTTGGATCGAATCAGGGCGCAAAGCCGCGCGATCGTCAGGGCGAGAGGTTCCTTGATTCGCTTTAGTGTCGTGGGCACCGAATAATCAACGTCGTTGTCTTCAAGAGAAAGAAAGGAAAATCGACTGATAGCGAGAGAAGCGTGGCGTGACAATAGTTGGTGTTTGTCGGAAGCGAAAGAACGAATAAGAAGTGGAAAAAGGACGTTGATCACGAGGTGGATGGTTAAACCTCGGTAGGTCGCCAATTCGGGAACAGACACAGTTTGGAACCAGAAGCAGGACCAGAATCGGAGCCAAAGCCACAGGAAGAGACGAAGCTTGAGTCAGAGTCTCGAAGTTAGAGTCGGAGTCAGAGTCAAAGTCAGAGTCAGAGTCAGAGTCAGAGTCAGAGTCAGAGTCAGAATTAGAGTCAGAGCCGGAGCAGCAACGTTTCTACGATTCTCCGCCACCACGAATGGACGTGAGCGTGTGCTGCTTGCCCGCCAGTGCCGGCTCGGGGGCCCAGCACCCTCATCCAGCGAGTTTGCCTTCCGGCGGACAGCCGACGATTCAACCACCCTATCAATATGCCGATCAGATAGTACCGGATCGGGGTCAACCCGACGGATTGCCGGTACTCGGTTGTACCGGTCAGGATAACTGGCAGCAGATCTCATCCGCTTCGAACGTCGTTGGTGCTGTCACCGCTGCCGCCGCCACCACCACCACCACCACCTATATCGATTACTCCTGGTTGCAGATGCAGGTGAGACGATCATTTTTTCCCCTCTCCTTCCCTTTCCTTTTCGTTCCTTCCCTTTGCTTCGCTTTGCTATGCTTTGCTTCGATCGCCACGCGGCTCACAATTTTATCATTTTCTAGCTTCTTACTCGATTCACCCGCGTTGTTTACAATTCGCTTCGTAGCTCTTTTTCCCTGGATCTATTTCGTCGATCGTTTGAAAGAAACGCAGGGCTTAACGATCCTTATCTCATCGAGACGATGAATCATAGTATCGATGACCGACTCGCGGCGATCGTAACCGTTCGTTGTTAAAAACTGTCAACAAACGACGAAGAATCTCGCGGAATTGATCTCGCCCGTGATTAACGAAGAAAGCAACATCGCGATGTGACTGCGGCGATGAGGATACCGCGATCGGATATTTTCGTGGAATACGGTTTTTTCGCTGTGTTTCATTGAACGCCAGGCCGCATTGCCTCGTAAAAGAATACGTGGACGCGTGTTTGCAGATCGATCGTGTCGGAAAAGGAGTACGAGATAGCGTATCGATTCCGAGCCAGCGTTAGATCGTAAAATAATAGAGCGAAGTAATAACGGCCATTACTATTATCTTGGCCCGAGTAATCGTTTTTCCCTTTTAGACGCAGAGCGGTGTTTCCACATAAAGCCGCGCGCGTTGTTGACAGGGCAAATATCCTTTGATACGCCGTCCGTCTGGGACACGCGTCGCACGCCTTTCCACCTTACCGACGAACTCGATGACTGTACGAGTGCTCCCTCCCCGGCTCTTTGCTTCGACCTTCGTCTCACTGCTCTATTTACATAAACCTACGGTTCGACTTGTTTCGCGAATTAGTCTATCTCATTAATTTCTACGTTGGGATTGGCTCGGCCTGCCTAGATTCGATTCCATTCGATTCGACGCGGTTCGATCGCAAAGCGTTCTCGCTTGTTCGTACCGCGTACAGATTCTCGGCAAGCGAGCAGACGTTTTCAGCGACGTTCCAACTGCGCGTTACTTACGTTTCCAACGTAACGTCCATCTTCCAAGGCAAAGGAGTTCGACCGATCGAAGAATAAAATGACAAACGACGGTGGAGTCCGGGTCGGGTTGCACCGTTTGGCGATTTCGTTTCGAAACGGCTCGTCGATGGTGTTCGGTGCTCGAATAAGACTAGAATAAGGCTATACGAAGCTAATTAAAATTCGGAAGCTTTTTCTTTTCGGTCGTAGAGAAGAGTGACGAAGACCGATCGGAAGCAAGTCAGTTTTTTCGACTGACTTTCGAGCGCCAAACGTTCCTCGCTTTTTCTACGCGACGACGAGAATAGACACGCGTCCTGACTACAGTAGGAAACCGGTTCTTCGTACCGTTATCGATACTAAGTTTTGGTAAGCGAAATTTGCACCGACCAATCGTTCGACGATCGTGCACAGGTCGGTCCGCCGCATATCCGCTGATCGGCAACCTCTACGTATCAGTATCGTACATATTCTTCGGATTGTACGGTCCGATCTCGAAACAGAGACAGAGAAAACAAGGAGAAAAGAAACTGTAAAAACGACCGGACCGTGGTAAAGAGCAAAAAGTCGCGGGTGCAGAGAATAGGTGACTGTACGTTTCTAATTAGCCATCACCGGAACGCAATCTAAACGTATTGTGACGCGCGTAAGATAATAAGCGGACGGAAATCCACGATTATCGTGGTCAGGCAGAAAGGGCATCCCGACGACGAGCACCGGACGAACCATTTCCACGGTTCACCGCCCTTCGTTTCAGTTCTGCGTATGATTATCGTTCCAGTGATTATTTTGCTCGATGTTCGAGTAGAAAACAAACGCAATTAACATTAGGCTCGAAGATCGCTCGACTCCAGCTAAAATATAGTATGTGGACGATCGTGTTTGCTCGAAGGGAAACTCTCTCACGCGTTTAACGTTACCGAACCGATTGTTCGTTCGTTTGTGCTTTTTTACTCGTGTACACGTGGGCGGTTACGGAAGTTCCAATCCTTCACCGATCGTACGCTTCAACGTGTCTGCGTTATTACTTTTCGTAGGTTACGTAGTTCGCTCGCACGTCGCCCAATCACGACACATCTCTACCTGGAAAAGATCTATAGAAACATGGTTGAACGTTTGAACGGTCGAACGTCGGGACACGTTCGAAAATAAACAGAGGAAGAGGGAAACGCGTCCGATATCGGACGTATCGCGAACCGCGAGTACGTATCGGACGAGCATCGAGTCGCTCTGTTCTCTTCCACTGGTAGTTCGCAGTTCGCAGCTCGCAGTGAGTCACAGCGAATCGCGGACGAATGCGCGAGTGGGTGGCCGTGCGGTTACTCGCGTCTTATGCGTTAGATGTATCTATGCACAGGACTACTACGGTCGGATGAGAAACGTTTTTATTTTTTCTCTAACAAACGTCTCTCTTGTCCTGTTTCTTTTTATTTCCGCGTATAATTAGCGAGAAACAGTCAGCTAGAAGGAAAGAGGTATTATCCTCTGGCTATGGGGACAGTCGCGTTTCGATCGTTGGATCGCCGAGATTTACGCATTGTCAGGAACATTGGCTTCCTCCGTTTGGCAACCTCGATTCGTCGTCGTTATATTTAGTTACGTTTGAACTGCACCAAACCAATGTTACGGACAATTTACTCGCGAAATTAGTTACAAAACGCTCGACCTATCTACCCATCAGTCACTTCCTCTTCCTTCACGTTAAATAGATGGACGGCCATTAAACGCCGAGAGTGGAGGAAGAGTTATTGTTCGCGAGTTACCATAATACATTCGAACGCATACACCACGAATCGTAGGCTGCACGTCCGTTCGCGTTTCCCCCTCCCTTTTTTTCTTCCAATTCTTTCGCGTCAACTATAAAGAAACTATAAAGAAAACCAGCCGCACAGGACGAGAAAAGAAGGTCTTAACGAATCGATTCGCGTTCGACGAAGAAACGTCTTCCTTCTCGCTATCATTCGTAATATCGTTTCACCGTTTCGGTAGCTCCAAGTCACGGGCTACGATCGCCAGGAAACAGATATGACGCGCGTCGCGAAGCGTGAAAAGCTCGAACGCACCCAACGATTACGTTCAAATGCACGTGGATATACGTATCCCTGCGTAAATGGATACATATAACCCGAATGGTGGGAACAATCGGCCGACGATTTACGTGCCGTCCGATCACTCGTACGATAACGTTGCAGCTTTTCTGGGTATTTATCGACGACGATGGTCAATCTCCATCGAACGTGGCGACACCGAGCGTATTTTCACGCGAAACCTGTAGATTCGTCGGGGAGATCCAAGCGAGGAAATGTCTCGTGGATCTTTTCTTGAAATTACGACGATGACCACGTCAGCGACCGACGTGTCGCGACAAGAATGACCGACGATCGAGAAAAATCATTTCTAGGAGAGATAGGAATTAGCGATTGGTATAACTGCAAGAGAGGGACGTATATTTGTTGATACACTCGGCAGTGATCGGCGCGGTGTACGGTGCGGTAGGCCGAAGGCGACGGCGCGGCGGCGTGGCGCGGCGTGGCGTTTCCGCGTAGAGACGCGTTCCAGTCGAGAGGATCGAGAGGGCAACAGGTCGATCGAGAAGGCGCTGCTTGGCTGGCCGGTGCTGGTATTCCGGTACGGTTCGTCACGAGCCGTATCGCGCCAGTCGCCGCGAATCGTATCGCGAATCGTTCGATTTTCTACCGATACGCGCTACGAGAGGTCCGAGGTGCTTCGCACTTACCGGCTGTTTCATCGACCACGTGGAAAAGGAATATAAACTTGCTACACCGTTATTCGTTCGACATACGCTCTGGTAATTTACTCCCTAGAAGCAGCACGAAACCAACAAATTTCCCGTTACTACCTGTCGAAACGCTTCGATGATAATTCACAAATAGAATCATTTTCTTTCACTGCCGCGATTGACATGCTACCGTTTAGTCCTCTCGCGGTTGCAGGCGAATTACGTTTTACGAGATCGTTGGAGAGAGGAAGGGAGATGGCGCGAAGAGGATCGACGAGGATCCACGCTCGTATCTACGTTCGAGTATCGTAGTTCGTAATCCGCGAATGTCTCTGCACGACACGTCATTCGTGAGGACGGTCGGAACGATAAGTTCGAACAGCGTGTTCGTTTCAACGCTTTAAAAATATCGTTGATCGAACGACGAGAGAATTCGACCGCCATACCGACGATCGGTTATCCACGAAAACGGATAATCGAAGACGCGAGAATGATCGATTAGAATGGAACGCGACAAGAGGAGGGGAGTAGGATAGAGCGTATAGAGTGTGGCGGATCGACCGATGGCAGTACAATAAGGGTGTTGTAAGTAAGAAGCAACGAAGACCTCATAGAAGGTAACCTCGTGGCATTGCATACCTGATGTTCGCGAACAAGCTCTTTGTAGCTGGTACGGAAGTCTCGACTATATAACACATTAGCATTACGAACTAACACGGGAGACGGATTGTAAAGCAACGGTGTATCTGCTGTAATAACTGTGAAATGACTTTGCGCTCCTCATACCAATGAGATGGATTTTAATGGCTCGACACACGACCGTGTCTTCCTACTTCAAGCGCGTGCAAAAATTTGACTTTTCTAGCCGAGAATGGAGTAGTTGTTGTCACTTTCGTGTTCCTTCGTACTTTCTTGCTCGCATATTTTATGCAATCTCATTTGACAACGTCGTGACGACAACGTTATCGATCGATTCGATCGCGGTGTATCTTAAAAAATCGTCTCGTTACGCCAACGTCTCGTAACGTTATCGACGGCTAGTTAGTTTTAACGGGGAAAACAATCGACAGAGGGTGAAACAGAGGGGACAAGGCAGACGAAAGAGACGCGAATCGTTTTCGGTTGGGCGGATGCTAGTTGATTATCTGTTTCTGTTGCGCTCTCTCGCCAAGTACCGTTATACTTGCGGCGCCCGGGGCCTCCAAGATCCCTTCTTTCCTCCTTTCCTCCTTTCTTTCTCCTGTCTACTCTGCTCTTCT